TGGTTGATTTTGAGATGCTTGAGAAATTTCTGTTTCTGCCTCCACTGACTGCTCCCTCATTTGAGTCTTCCTGGATAGCTTAAGGTAATCTGTTTGAGTCTGCGCTGACACGTACTTGTTTAGTTATGACTCAATAAGTAAGCTGACTATATCTGACTGAAGTACTTCGGTTCAACAGATTTCCGTTAAGTTTGCTTACCTCTGTGTATTTATAAAAACTTTAAGATTTCCACAGTAAACTAAACAGAAAGTACCAGCCATTAAGGAATAACCCCTGCTCACCTTTGAAATAAGTATTTTATTTAAATGCTCAAAGAAAATGTTTTAGATTCTACTTAATCTTTATAGTTAAGATTCTTGCCTGAGGTGGGTTAGAAATTTCATAAGGCTACCTGTTGGAGAACGGCTTGCAGAGAGCAAGGCCATAGCTCCCTGCAGGAGCTGGTCGGCCACTGCTCCCTGCACAAGTCGGTCCCAGCCACCTGAGGTAAACAAAGGAAAGAACCCAGGGTACAGTTATGTAAACACGGATGAAGACCCAGGGCCCAGTTGTGCTAACGAGGATTGTTGTGAGAACACAGAGATAAGTTGGGGCGCATTATGACCTTGGGGGTCAGAGGAAAACAGCTGCAGCGGGCGGAGGAAGCAAGCAGCAGATTCAATGTGAATGATAAAGCAAGCTTCAACTTTATTGATAGAAATCACACCTTATAGAAGCAGTCTACAACTACTACATTACTTGTAACTCTATTGGATACATTTAAGAAACTATATTATAATATCTCAGCCATTGAGTACATTTAAAAAGTCACATTATAATACCCCAGCCCCTTGTGGCATCTCTGGTATGTATAAACATCTTTCTTACTGTGAACCTGCTTCTCTCCCAGGCCTGTTTTTCTCTGACCCCCAAGGTCATAATGCACCCCAACTTATCTCTGTGTTCTCACAACAATCCTCGCTAGCACAACTGAGCCCTGGGTCTTCATCCTTGTTTACATAACTGTACCCTGGGTTCTTTCCTTTGTTTACCTCAGGTGGCTGGGACCGACTTGTGCAGGGAGCTATGGCCTTGCTCTCTGCAACCTGTTCTCCAACAGCTACCTATCTCCCAAATTATGTAAAATATTTGTATGCTCAAATGAACATCTCAAGAAACCTTAACCTGTTTTAAAGATTTAAGAAACTAAGACTTCAACATTAAACAAACTAAGTAGCAGTTTAATATAAAAACATTTTCCCAACTACTTTTTTTTCCTTAAAGCTACTTGCTGTACAAAAAAAAAGATACCATTTTCTTTTGGAATATTTCATAAATCTCTGAACCAAAAGTACTTCTCTTTACAGAAAGCAATTCAGAGTGCTGAAGAAGCTATATAAGACCTTCTCCTTAAGGCCTAACAGTGTTCTCTTGCCCTTTAAAAAACAGGATGTAACTTACTCTTTGAAAATATATTGTGACTGGCTGTTTGCATCTTAAATGCTTCGCCAAGTATCAGCAGCATTACCCACAATCTGCAATTAATGACACTACAAAATTCTTTCTGCAAGGCAAGTATTAACCAGCATTTAAATATAACTATCAAACATAAACATAAACCAACAGCAAATTTACAGCTACAGGCTAAGTTTGTTCATTTAGATTGGGAGATGATAAGCAGAAGCTTTCCTGCCTCTTATTTACAGGATGAAAAATGAAAAACTTTCTAAGTTTTTTAATGAACCTAAAAATCTCAATAAACAAGCAAGTAAAAAAACATAGATACACAAACTACAACTAGTCTTCACATGTAGAATGGTAATTTTAAGCGCTTTGTCAACTTCAGGAAGGGTAACAGATACAATGGTCTGTAATCACTTTCACCTTGATAATGCAGTTGCTCTCCCAGAGTTCATCTATGCAACACAATTGCCTTGCCCTCAGCAGAGTGCTGATCGTGGATCACAGTGTTCAGATACAGCAAAAGAGAAGCACCATTTAAACTTTTAACTCCGGAAGGAAAAATTATAAGCAATTTAGCTTATGTCCTGTCTGAAAGGCCAAAGAATGGGATGGAGTGGTATTGCATTTATACAGAGACATTAAGTTCCTGACCCAGAATCAACACAGCAATGCAGGCAGCAGATAAGCTCTGTAGGGTGAAGCCACACCATCTCACAGCAGGAGGAACATCACCCCTAACCACTGCTGCTCACATACCTGCTTATTATCTGAGCAACCTGGTACCAGGAGACCTGAAATTGCTCTTTTGTGAGGAAAATTCTGCTGCCAAGAGGTGGTATGTTTGAGTTCAAAAGACACCGAGAACAGTCAGAAGTCATTTCAGATCAAAACGTTCAGACAAGGACCAGATAATATAACAGGGGAGAACTAGGAAAAAAAACCTTGTGTTTTGTGGTAGACAGTGAGCTAGTACTTCTCAAAGGGTTATATGAAAACAAAGGAACCAAGGGACCCCATGATTAAAAAAATAATTAAAAGAAATTAAGTAAGCTGTCCACCTTTCTCCTAAAAACAATTAAAGAACAAGGACCTAGTTAGTTATTCTTTTAATTTTATTAACATATAACCATGCAAATTGAGTAAAAAATGATGTCATCAAGGTTAGGTCCTAAAAACTTAACCAGCTATGCCATGACTGAGCATCTCCATATGTGATTTGGAGTTCTAGACAGCCTACCATACTTCAGATGTTTAGAGGAGGATGCTATTGCTTGTTAGAGTTTTACATAAATACAGAAAAATGTTTGAGGCTGTCTCATTTAAAAAAAATTAAAAATCCATAAAAACCAGCAGAACAGACAGATACATTCAAATGTTAATTTTTCATTTAGAGCTTTTTCTCCCATCTGGGTAGGACTTACATGAATGACTGATAAAGACTGAAAGAAAACAAAAATGTTCAGCCTTTTTTTGACTGATAATAATAATTAAAAAAATCTAACAGAACATATCAGCTGACCCAAAATGGAATATTCTGTATTTGGAAATTATCAGCATACAGCAAAGGAAATAATGGTATATATTACAAAAGATGGAAGTAGTATAATAATAACAACATCCTTTCTTTATTCAGTAAACCATTACCTGGGACATTTATCAAGAATGTGGCAGGCTGAGGTTTAACCCCTGACTCTCAAAACACAACATTAAAGCTCACCATTCCCATTGTCAGTGTAACACTTCCTTTTATATATTAGAATAGTCAGCAAGCCAGAGAGGATACAGACAAGAATGATACTCTACACATCTTGAAAATGTAGATTCAAATCCATGTAGGAGGATGGAATCTATTCTGGATTTTTCATATAGCAGGTAGGTGCTCCACTGGATAAAATGGGACACCCACCACACCGAGGCACATTTAAGAAAACCAATGTAATTTCTCAAAAATCACTCTTTTTTTAGTAAACCACAAATCACCTATAATTGTCCATACCTTTTGCCCTATTTCACATCCAGAGATTCCCTTCTTTTTCAGAAGTACACAGTGTAAGGATATGCGGAATAATTATTTTCTGAGGCTATCTGATTAACACCTGTTTAATATGCAAGACTTGGACAACAGACAGGAGAAGTAATTAAGCCCCAGGAGATAATGGAGACAATACCAAAGACCAGAAATCTCAGGCCACTGATGAGCCATTGAAGGAACCACTCAAAGTCTTGAGGAGATATAACTGGAGCTTTCTAACAGATGAGGGGGAAAGAAGATTATCACAGGTCTCTCAGGAAAGAACAGACTCATTATGGGATATTTTAAGGTGTTTGTATGATTGTGCAAAATGCATTATGGGATTTTGGGGAGAAAGGCCAAAGATGGGGAAAGGGTGGGATGAAGTTACATTAAGTATGGACAAGCGCAGGAGAACAGAAAGGCAGTGGGACAACAGGGGCCAGTTGTGTGAAAACAAGCGGCCAGCACACTTGCCTAGCCAAGTCCTAACCATGTTCCTGGGTAAGCTCCCTGTTCTGTCTCTGTGTGCTGCTACGGAACTTCAGGCCAGAGTAGCCAGAGAACAGGCTAAGTGGTCTGGGTGTCTCAGGTACTGGAGAGAGCTTGCGTCTGGGTGTCAGGTGCTGCAGAGACCAGTCAAGTTACTGGGGGGGAAATATAGGTCTGCACCAGGTATTGCAGAGACCTTCCTGGGTTGGGCAGGGGATGAGGTGGGAGTTGTGCTCCTGACACTGCCTGGTGGGTGGGTGCTGCACCCAGGACACCTGCTCAGCACTCCCACCGGCTGGACCTCGGGCAGCAGCCTGGCTCTAGCAGTTGGAGAAGCAGCGCTCACCTGCAGCTCAAAACTCACTGGACCAAGCTTGCTTTTGACACAGTCCACCATTACAGTGGCATTCAGAGGGCAAAACATTAAACATCAAATACAGAGCTTTAGTTGAGAAACTCCGTTTTACTGTAGCAAACGTCACTGTGTCCACATGGGTTTCCCATCACCTATGGGAAAAACGGGTCTTACAGTGGGATAGTTTAGGCCCTTGAGAACAAGCTGCAAAAGACCGTAATTTAAAACCAAACAAACATAAGTGGATTTCTCCGAAAAAAACTTGTTTCCTTAGAAAAGTACTCCACAGGTTTTGTGGAAAGGCTGCCCGGTATGACAGTTTGCAAGGGCAGAGGGTGAACAGCTTGTGAAGGCCCTGCACCGTATCAGTACAGAGGGGTTACTGGCGGGGACAGGCCGGCCTGCCCACACGCCACCCCCGCTCACAGCCCTTTGTAGGCTTTTGCTTCTGCGCGGCGGCGCCAAAAGCCGGGCAACCCTGCAGCACAGCACCATACAGCCGTTTGCTCGCTACCTGCAGTGGGATGGGGAGAGAATCGGAAGGGTAACAAGTGAGAAAACTCGTGGGTTGAGATACAGTTTAATAGGTAAAGCAACAGCTGCATGTGCAAGCAAAGCAAAATAAGGAATTCATTTACCAC